CCCCCTTTCTCCTCTTCTCTGATGTCAAAATTTCAAGTTACTCACAGCATTTGGTGTGTATCATATAATTATTTTTTCATTTATCTCCCGGTTTGGACCAAGTGTCCCCCCAAAAAACCACCTATTTTCTTCACTCACATTCAACATAAAGATTTTTGCCCTGTCTGCCATGTAAATGCATGTTGCTTTCTCAATATGCTTTTGTTGGAGAAAGTTTGCAGCAGGTCACGAAAGTACCCACTCACTATTTATATGACTGGATGTGTGTGGCTTTGGGGAGGGGGGAGGGTGGATGCATTTTTTATATGAATGCTACTATTTGTTGTTTTTTTTAAATCTACATTCAAATCTCAGTTTGAAAGCAATATGTATCGGATAATGAGTCTCAAATTGCATGTGAAGTATGTTGATGCAAAATGATATTACAGGGGTGCTGATTTTCTGGATAAATTAAGAAATCCAGGTATCCACCATTGTCTGGATATTGTGATACACCCTCTTGAACAGTTATTTATATTTTAATAATTTTTTTTGCATGTCAAATTGCAATTTATATAAAGGTAGTTTTGATACAAGATGTATTAAACAAAATGGTCCTTAGATTTCGGTTACCCCTATACAGGTTTCATTGGGTTTGAAAAATTCAGGATTAATTTTTTATTTTTATTTTTTTGACATATCCTTTTAGCGTCTCTGATATTATATTTGATCATCTTTTTCTGCGTGGACAAGCTAGCTGAGAAAATGAAAGAGACTAATTATATAAAATATTGGTATACAGTGTTGTGAAATTTTCTTTGAAGCTTCGCGATCAAGTTTAAGTAGATGTCCCTTCTTGAATGAATTATTTTAAATGTTTTGAAGATTGGGAGATTTATTTACACTCAAGACTGAGTATTGCCTTTTTTCCTTTTTTACAAGAGACCAGGGGGGGGACAGGGGTGTTTAGGAAGACGACAGCCAATGGATTCAATGATTATATGATACTGAGGACTATGTCGTGTTGTTTGTTTTTGTTTTTTAAGGCTCTTCAAGTGCTTTATTTGTTAAGTTACAAACTTGTCTGCTTGTTACACAGTGAAGGCTGAGTGAATAGATGAGAGGCTAGTCGCCCGTGAGTTCCCTGTGTGCAGCATATGTTTTTATTGCAGTAGAAAAGAGTTCTTACATCCGGTTTTCTTGCAAACTTTTAGAAGTTTGTGGCTCTTGTTTTCTTTAAGATAGAAAGACTCTTAATATTTTACAGTATAGATCTATGGTCTCTCTTTTATCTCCTAGAATATTGCACTGTCACTTTGTCTTGCTGGGTGTGCTTGATGTGAGCCTGTGATAATTTCATGTGACTTTCAACCACACTGTTATCGTTGGTCCATGTACCAGTGCTCTGTTTCTAGCCATAGTTCTGTTGTGGACAGATAGTCAACAAGGAAAAATGAGGTGATTAGTGAAATAGTTTTTCTGAAAGCGGAAAGTTTGTTAATCTTCAACCAGCATTTGTCCAAAACAAAGGAAGGGACATGTCTTTGATGGTGTAAATTTTTCTTAACATTAACCTAGTGTTTTCTTCCCCCTCTCTTCTTTTGCAAGTCTGTCCCCTCCTTTGACTTTCTGTCAGTCTTTTCTAATGAAAAGAAATAGCAATGTAAAATATAACGAAATATTACTGTGTGTGCTGTCCTTTACATCCTGTAAGTACGGAGTGCCTTGAGAATGATAAGCACCAAACTTTGTTTCCTCACTATTATATATCAAGTTGCCTTGAGAGTTCATAACCATTGTCTTGCTATATTTTCACATGGTATTCTATATTCTATTGAGTTGGAGGGGGGGGGGGTCATCTGTGGGTCTGACATGGACAACTGATCTAACAAGGACTGTACAAGTGATCACTAGACTGATCAAAGCAACAGCTGGTATTATGCTTTTGAATGGATGCCTGAACAAAGTCATAATTCCTCCAACAAAAAAAGCCCCAAAAGAACAATTGAATTGGTCCTAACTAGTCAAGATTGGAAGAATCACAAGTTATGATCAAGCTGATTTGTTTGATGTCATTGTTTGTTTGTTGTCGCTCTACATGACTGATACTTTATATTGTCGTACCAGCTGTGATTAGATATGAGAATGATTGGGGGGACGCTTCATGCAGGACTCTTACTTGTTACTTTTATTTGTCTGGTCTGTATGTTGTTTCTCTTCTTGATCCCATTCAGCCCAATCAGACTAAATTTCTCAATAACCTAATGGACACATAGCATGTCAGATCAACAACAGACCAAAGGTAATGTTGCAGCAAATTTCAGACCATCTTATAAAAAGAACAAATACACAAATAGGCCTGTATTTCACAGTCTATGTATTGCTGCCTGCTGTTTCAATTTTCAAATTAAGAAAACAAATAAAAAGATATGCATGAATAATGAAGTTTATACTCTTTTTTTTAATAAAGGCCTCAAAACAGCGAGCATGTCTTCAAACCTTGTAAAACAACCAGAGTGCTTGTCCTCGATGAATTCATTGTCCTTGTGTGGTTGGTAGACACTGTGGTGTCAGCCAGCTCAGTCTACTTCTCTTCAGTATTTCTACTGTTGTAATTAATCTGTTCCTTGTGGAACGTTCCATTACCACGCCGACTCGTAACCTACCTTAACTTCATTAACTTTATAAATTGTGCTATGTAGGTCTGTAAAACTCTTTGACTGACAGAGAGATACTTTGTGGATGGGAGTAGGGCGCTACTTCTTTTCTTTCTTTCTTCACTCTGTTGTTTCTGCCTACATGTCTGTCTGTCTTACTTTTCCTTCCCTACACTAAATGATTGTTACTGTTTGGGAGAGCTTCTCTTTCCTCAATTTGCCAACATTACTGTGTCGAGCAGATCCTTAACACTTTGACAGCTTGGCAGATAAATATCCTAACATCTGACTCGGACTGCGACAATTTTTTTTCTGAATCTCAAAAACTGTGACAGATGCATACTCAATACTCTAACCTCTGATTACAACCTTTTCTGAATCTCTTGAAATCTCTTGAGACCAGCAGATGAATCCTCTAATGCCTGACCTCGAATGTTCTTTCTTTCTGCGTCCCCAGGTCACCGAGTGAACATCTACCCGGCCAGCCACGGCAGCGTCAACTACTACCGCGACCCTCAAGAAGCCCCGACCCGGGGTGAGCTGTACGTCCACTCTGCCGGCTACCCTCGCAGCGATGACCACCAGAAGTACGTCTTGTCCCGCGGGGTCAGCGCCGACTTCCCCTCGGTCAATTACTGACCTGGCCACGGTAGAGACGCTTCATTCGCTCATGCTGGCGTGCGTAGCATCAAAAAGTTAAAAAGTCACAGATTGGAACTCTCTATACTGCTTACACACCGATGTAATCGGCGGGCCATGGACTTGATTGGTGCCGCCATGCATAGCGTAAAACGTCACTCTGGAACTTTCTACATACTGCTTACATACCACTGTAATAATAATAATGGGCGTTTCCAGTTGTCTTGGGTTTCAACTGGTTCTCCCTCCTCGCACTCTCGCCACCACACCCCTATCTACTGGATAACCCCCAGTCTTATTATGTTGGGGAAAATTTACGTCATGTGAAATATTTCGTGGAAGTTCAAGCTCTCCTCTACCCCCCGCCCCCACACACACTGCTGTGCCACGCCATGCCACCATGGAGTGGACATTGTGGACTTTTGTCTGACCTTTAGATTGTTCCAGCTGACTGACCAGCCTCCTCCTGTGAGTGACCCTTGAACTTTGGAATGATACATCAGTTGTCTTGGTAGGGTGTCAGTCGGGGGCTGATCTGTTGAAGAAACATCAAAGAGTGACAAGGAAACTCATCATCTCCTCTCCAGAATTGACAAACATTTCTTCTGGTGGCACTGTCAAAAATACATGGCCTCGACTTCTGAGTTTCTTCACTTTTAAAAGAAAAGGAAGTGGATTAAGGGAGCAGTTTCTTTTTCACTCACGTCATGTGTGTGTGTAAACATTTCACTACCCAGCTTCGATTTTATGTGGTTGTTTATTATCTTGAATTCTGTTGGATGTTTGACTTTACAGGTTGAGTTTTCATCATTTGTTTTATGTTATGATTGTTTGTTTGTTTTTTTGTTCATGATTGATATTATATATACTATTGTTTATAGGACTGTAAGACATGTGTACAGGTTTTTGTGTGATTCGAAGTATTAGATACATTTTATTCAGAGTATGTGAACTGGTTTGTATGGAGAGCTAGTTTAATTGTTCTTTATATGTTGTTGTTTTCCTTGTTATTTGATGGGTGATGTCATTCATATAGGGATGTTTTGTTTTGAGTTTTTTGCTCATCGGCTGTGTCAGTCTCCATCTTGATAGGTCAGAGTCCCTACCACGTACATTTCTCACACATATTTTTGAAAACGGATAGGGTTTTTTTTCCCTCCACGTCATATTCATAGGTTGCTTTTCCCATTCAGACCTTGGATACATTTTTTTTTACATGGTGGCTGAGATCTGCACGATGGATAGTTTCATGCTGGATGGAGGGAGGGGGTGTTGAGCACTTATAGCGCTCATCCACACACACTCACAAACACACACAATCACACTCACACACACACAGCTCAAGCTGCTACTGATGAGGACCAATCAAACAATTATCTTTTTTTTTATGTCCAGTCCTTCGTTTTTCTCTTTCTGTAATTTTTTTTTCTTTTTTAAAATGATACTGACAACGTGAAAGTAGTAGCTCAACCTTACAAAAATTTTACAGATTTTTACAAAGATGCCTACTGAATTTTTATGTTGGTGTTAACTTTATCAATTGTATAAATTTATAGAGTGTGAAATATAGTGTATTGTAAAGCAGTGTTCAGTGTAGCAAGCTCTTTTATTATCGTCAACACAAGGGGTAATAGGATTGTAATTAAAATATCTCTACACAAGACATTTCATTTAATATATATAGATATATATATAGATATATATATAGATATATATATAGATATATATATGTATGCCTATCACAAGGACAGTATTGCTGTAAAGTATCTCTCCTTGTCATTTTGCTGTATAAACTTCATTCATACATAAGATTTTTATACCCACATTTTATTATTTAAGCTAACAGGTAGAGTTGAAGAAAAAGACAATTGCATAATGTGGGCCTTTTTGCGAGGAAACAGTTACAAATGGTGCTAGTTTTTTTTCAGGAGGTCCAGAAATAGGAAATGGCTTTTTTCTTGTTTGTCTTATATTATAAGAGCTAATTCCAGCATATTGTTGAGGGATGGCCTAGTTACTGTGGATTCTGGAAATTATGCTGCTTCTCGATGGCTCCCATATTTGATGGCCGAGTCTGTAACACATGCCTTTGTCGGACTGCAATGAACTCGAGAAAAGGTCACGGTGAAATCACCCAAGGGTCTCTGAGGCCTCTTGTGTGTATGTGGACTGGGAGGTTGCGGCTTGGTCATTGGGACAGAGTCTGGGGGAGAAAACTCAGTCTTCTAGTTAAGTTCATATTCTGACATGCACTTTAGAAATTTGCACCCCTGTTATCGTATATACGACTTTTGCTTCTTTCCCCACGATCACTGTGGCGAAAGGTGGCCATAGGTTTGGGCCGACTTGACATGCTTTTACGACTCAACAACTTCATTTTTTTTTTTCTTTTTGTGGCACCAATTACAATGTGTACTATTGATCGAGTTGATTAATTAATTACTGTGTTATTTTATGTCAGCCATTTTGCCCATGACAGCTAGACCTATTAGGCCATTCCATGATTTTTGTATGACCATAATTGTCCCTGTGGACAAGTTTGTTCCCACTGTTTGGGGTATTCAAAGACATCGGTTTGATGCTAGTGTGTGTGACTGTCACCGTTGAAGTCGGAGAGTAGATTTCTATTTGTTGGGTCGCTGGGTTTTTTTTATATTCGTGTTTGTGGTCTCTGTGTGATTATGATGGTAAGGTGGTCTAGAGGTCCACGTTATGTTGTTTGTTTGTTTTTGTTTTGTTGTTGTTGTTTTTGGGGGGGGTCAAAGAATGTTTTTGTTTGTGTGAGATTGTTGGTGTGACTCTTTGACACTTTCTACCTTGAATGATGTGACTGATGGTTCTTTTTGGAACTTTCTGTTTCAGTTGTTTTTCACAAAGGTAAAGATTTTTAGGTCATACTTCTTTGGCTCTTGAAAGATTTTGTTATGCTCTGTAACATTTTTAATTTCTTTCTGATACTCATCTGATTTTAATACAGTTATGTCATGGTATGAAGTTCAAATTCCCAGACCTGATATATCTCAGAGCTGAGCAGCATGCAGGCTTTCAGGAAACCACTGAATCAGACATTTCTCAGCACAATCTGCCTCATTGCTTAATTTTCCTCCACTCTTTTGCTGTATATTCACTCAGTTTGTCTCTTCGAGGATGTTGGGTTTCTAAATATTGGCAGTAAATGGATGAAATGGCAGCGTGCACAGTAAAGGATTTTTTTTCTTTTTGGTCTACCCTTATAGGGTCATGATTACGCATCATTATGTCGGCCTGTATGCTGGTTACTATTTTCTCACAGCAGACACTGTTCATCTCTACAGCTGGTGAGAAATTTATCTTGGGCAAGACTCAGAGAAGTGAATATAAGTTGTTTTCGGCATCAGTTTGCATAGACTTTGTTTGTTATGTTGTGTCGTCAATGGGGCTCCATCATTTTGTCCAGCTACTCATAATGCTGCATTTTTACTGGTGTGTGAAGAAGTGTCTAGTATCGAGCAGTTGAGGTTTGTAAATGAAGGTCTTTTTCCAAGTTTGAAACCGTTTGATTGGTAGGTGGGGTTGGACCAGAGGCTTGTGTCGTGGACAGTTGAGCGTCTCATAGTGTGTGACATTTTGTCAATCTTTTTAAAATTCATTATAAAAGAAGAGGTGTGTCAGAGCTTGCCTCTATATTTTTACAGTTGTTTGTTTTGTTGGGGTTTTTTTGCATACAGGCTTAAGTCTTAAGACCAAAAAGTATCTCAGGTGTAGAATATATTCTTTGAATGCAGTGCACCCACCCCACCTCCTTTCTGTCTTATTTCAGCAGACTGTCTTGGTTTGGGCTTGACACTAATAATGTGTTATGAGATGATTTGAAAGTCTGAGACCAGAAACGTTCTCAGTAACACAGAAGTCGTGCCATCCATGCCTCTTGGCTCTGTGGGGCTTTTGTTTGATAGAGCTGGGAGTGTAAAACACGTGCGGTATATGATGGTTGCAGTGAAGAGCAGAGACAATATTTTTTTCAGCATTAGAGTTTCATGGCTTACGAGATGCTTACATCCAGTGCTGCACCACTGAGGTAGCTTGAGCTTCTATATACTTTTTTTTTCCAAACCGTTCTTTTTTTTGTTGTTGTTTTTACGAATCGTCTTTGTTGGTTTTTGGACCACAAAACTCTGTGCCATTTAGCGTTTGGTATTTTTCTTCCTCCTATTGTGTCATTTGAGGTGTACATATGTATTGAGAATCACTGTGCTTCATGCAGCGTATGACAATGGAAATTGTGCATGTTGTGTGCAGTTGATTGGTGTGTGAATGTCTCTGACCAAAAGCAAGAGTGACTCTTTCATGTGTTTTGTTTTTGTTTTGTTTGGGTTTTTTTGTTGAAAGCTTTGGGACTGAAGCTGGTGTAGCAGTTAGGCTCTTGGCTTTTGCATGCAGAAGACATGAGTTTGATTGAGAGTAGTTTTTTTATCAAAATATCTCCATCTACTGGGATGCTGTATCTTATTCAGCATGGGTCGGCCCTGACAGGCAGGTTCAAAGCAGCCCACCTCCCAGATTATCGAAATTTTGGTGATTGGGATGGAGAGTGTAAAAAATTACAATTTTAAAGAGATCAACAGCTCTTGAAGTTATTTCAAATTAGGAGCTCGTGAAGACTGGTTAAGTGTTTGTTTTTTCCCATGCCTAGAGGTCTTTTGTTTCATTCTGTGTAGGTGTAGAACTGGCTATCTTTCGGGGTATCCTACTGATCATTGTCGTTGTTGGTTAGGCTGACCACAAAGCTCATGTCGTATTGGATGTCCTTCGATATGTCTTCAGAAGAGTTGTCAAACAGCAGGGTTATCTATCGATGATTTCTTGTTTTCAGTGTGGGTGGTTGGTGGGCACTGCTTCTACTTCTTTTCCCTGGGGTCTATATTGCTTTTTGTTTGTTTGTTTTTGGGGGGCATTTCTAATCTATTTTGAAGTCTTTTCTGTTCTTTGTGAAACCCCTTGTCTAGCTTACTGGTCTTGAGTTACAAGTCGTCAGCTTTTTTTAACATAAGTAGCTTATTAAATTAACAAATTAAGAAATGTTGGGCCTTAAACATCTTGCTCTTTTCGCAGAAATGGAGGGCTAAAGAGACCATGCTTGTCAAAGAATAACTTAATTATGGGTGGTGGAAAAAGACTTGAAAAGTGTAGTATACTACTTCTGTTTCAATTTGAGAAGAGTATTTTATGGATGTTCATCAGTCTTTTAGCAGGGATGCTTCCTCACCAAGCTCTAGATAACCCTGAGATGTGTGACAGTGGGTGGGTCTCAACTTGTGCTCAATCAAACCACTAGTGTTTGGTGAATCAATCTCGGGTTTGGCGGAGGTCAAGCCGCACGCATACACTGTATGTGTTTATGTTCGTTGCATTTGGTGAATGCACGTGTATGAAACCAGGTGGGTTCAGTACCTCCCCCAAGGTTTAGAACCACCTGTTCTTCTAAGTTGTGTGCGATTGAGCCTGCAAATTATTAACAACACATGGGTCAGTATGTTGACCAACAAGTTACGTAATTTGACCATAGTGTTAGCTGGTCATCAGGGTACTATTGGAACGGAAGAATATTTGTGTTTTGCCATTTTTTGTTTCTCTTGAGATGCACATTTGTGAATTAGTTTGTCATTTTGTACATGTACATATTTACCAATGTTGACGATCACAGAACTAAGGAATTTGATGTTGATGGCTTCTGCTTCTGGCTCTTACCTAATAAAAATGCCTAGTGTGACTGTGTCTGTAGGTTTTTGTGTATGTTATTATTATCATTGTACGACAATATGCTTATCCTCTTGTGTCAAAGAGCTGTAACTTTGTCACCAGCTAGCACAGATCAAATATTCATACATGTATCATGGTATGGTCACAAGTCTTCTTTGAGTTTGAGCGTGTACTTTTTGTTTTTCGGTCTTTTCTTTGCGGGCATTGCTGATCTGTTTGTTTCTGTTTCCTGGACTGACATTTCTGGCTGGTAGCTGCCTGCTCATTTTTTTTTCTCCTATCTGAACCCGTGGGTAGCTGGTAGACATTCTGGTGTGGCCTGTTCTTTCTGCTATTTTTCCATGTTTCAAAATCCTGATCCTTACCTACCAGTGTCTGTTGTGTGATGGTTGGGCTTTGTGCCTTGGCCCACTGAAGGCTTGAGTTTGATTCCTATGTTAGGAGGTTTTTTCTTATCGAGTGTCTCTCTCTGTCTGCTGGGATGTTGTATCCCACTCAGACCTGAGCTGCCGGGACAGATGACAAGCTTGAGGTTAGCTACCCTGTCTGGTGCAAAGGAGTCAATTGTGAGATTTTGTCCCTCGTGGGGCCACATAAGGTGCTAGCATCACATCGCCCTGGGTATGGTATATGTATAGACTCACCCTCCCTCTTCTTCTGTTGTACAGAGCAAGTTCTAGGTGGGTGTTCTTGTACTTGTATGATCTTCTCCTACTACCTTGTGTAAGCGTTTACTTCTGTGCTAGTCTGTCTGAAGAAATGTCAAGTCCAACTGCTCTTTTTTCCCTTCAACATTTGTTCGTCTGTCTCGCTTTTTCCCCAACTCCAAACGATCAATACTGCGTGTATGTTTCCTTGTGACTTGATGTCTTTTCCGGGCACACTGTTAACTCAGTTGGTATCATGCAGGATTATGAAGCAGATGGATCTGGTTCGAATCCCCAACAGGGCATTCTGAACTTCAGTTGGTTTTTGGGTCGGGAGTTTTTTTTTAAGACTCTCGACTCTTTTGACTCAGTCCTACCAGAGATGGACGTTAAATCAAGGAGGTCTCGCACAGTGTTGAAAGAGGCTTTAAACCTGTTCAAGACAATGTCTCCTCCTCTGTTCTAGCAACCCCCCGACCTCTCTCTTTCTCTGTCTCTCTCTCTCTGTCTTCCCCTCTTTCTCTCTCTCTGTCTCCCCCTCTTTCTCTCTCTCTCTCTCTCTCTCTCTCTCTCTCTCTCTCTCTCTCTCTCTCTCCCTCCCTCTCCCTCTCCCTCTCCCTCTCCCTCCCCCTCCTCCTCCGGGTATGTCTGAGCAGGCTTATTCTCAACATGATCTCCTATTTTCCTCTGTACAGTGATTTGAGTGATCAGTGAATTGTCTGCTCCTGAGACGGTTAAGAACAGAGAACTGTTTGGGGATGTTTTTACACCCTCGCTATTTTCATTTCTCAGTCCTGATTTTTGTTTTGTTTCTTCATTACATTTCAATTCGCTTTATCTTCGCCCTGCGCTCAAAATGTTGGGTTGGTTTTTTTAAAACTTTGTTGATGTTTTTGTAATGGATGCATGTTATTTATTGAGGTTGCCAGGTGCATCTCTTGTTTACTGCTCGTGGGCTCTTTGCCTAGCTGTTGCTTGCCCTGTAGCTGCTTTTGATATCAAGACCTGAGGTTCTTCTGATAGAT